AAGTGACTGTAACAATGAGGGCACCATGTATATTTGCATGGTTATTCACACCCGCTTTGTGATCCTTGGCATCCCGGTCACAAACGAGAAGGGCATATCGAGATTTAAACATGCTATTGAAAAGTTCAATGAATCTCAAGAAATCTAGGAATTCTCAAAATGCGTGTCGTCTTCCTTTATGACAGGGGCTTCCTTGATACACGTTGCGTGTCATAAACACGCGCGTCGTAAATGCGTGTCATAAATGCGTGTCGTAAACAGACGACGCGCAAAAGAGTGTCGTCTCTCGTTATGACATGGCCTTTCTTAACGTGCATTTGCGCGTCGTCTGAGCGTTTTACGACACGCATTGCGCGTCGTAAAAGGCTGTTTTTCTAATAATGTCAAGTCCGGTTTTTGACCAGTTTCGCATTTTGAGTCCGTTTTTGTTGATTTTGACGTGAGATATTTACCCAATTCATATTTTTGACATATTAGACCCTCTAAACTTATATATTATCCACATCTTGAATATTTATTAAATATAAATCTTTTTTTTTTTAGGATAATATCAAGAGGACATAAAGGCACTCTTTGACTTTAGTGCACAATTGTCCCAAAAAAAATTTCTTTGAGATAAAATCAACACTATTTTGAGAACCAGTTAAATTGATCATATAGGAAAAGGCTATATATATATATATATATATATATATATATATATATATATATATATATATATTATATATATATATATATATATATATATATATATATATATATATATGAGAGGGTTCAATTGAGAAAAAAAAAAGATTGAGAATGGGGGAATCATTCTCAGCCAATCATTTATTTTTGCCGCAAAAGCCTCCAATGTACCGGCAGAAATGGGAAACGAATGCACATATGTTTTCCAACATAACATATTTCCTTAAACTATGCTAATCATTACCTTAATATATACAAAAACATAGTTTTTTTTTTCGTTTTTTTTTTTTAAATTTTTATAAGCTATTTTTATCAAAAAATGATTTTAAATATACCAAAATTCATGATTTTTTATTCTCTACAAATAGACATCAATATTGATATAGTTTTAAGATAAAATAAAAAATTTATTTTTTTTATATTTTCAGCTATCGTTATTCATAAATGAATAACAATGCATCAGCTTTTATTACAGTACATTCGTTATTCACTTATGAATAAAAAGTATGATTTTTTTTTACGACTTAGGTATCATTCATATATGAATATAACATATAATAAACATAGTATATATTCATATTTAAATATTGGACGATGAATTTACTTGTGAATATTAACATAGTATATTCACTTGTGAATATTAGATGGTATATTCACTTATGAGTATTAAATGATATTTCATATGTGAATATTACATAGTATTACATGATATATCACATGTGAATATTACAGAGTATATTCACTTGTTAATATTAGATGATATATTCACTTATGAATATTACACAGTATATTCACATATAAATATTACAAGGTATATTCACTTATGAATATTGAAGGTATTTTGACAAATATATATATAATTTTTATATGTTATTCACATATGAATAACATACAGACTTGCATATTTGTTTTGTGTTTTTAATAATCATATACTGATTCAAGTGAGAAAACATATTCATATGTGAATATAATGTGGTAATTTAGTTTATGCATTTCATCAAACAGTTGGAGTGCAAACAAGTTAACTATTTTAAAAATGTTAAAAACATCAAGTTATCAATTCCAAATCATCATATACTTCCGATTTCGACTTTAGATGCAACATCCTATCTCTGATCGATTTCTCAATTTGATTTTGATTTCGAAAATCCGATTGGGAACCTGTGAGTACCGATTCTAAGTCCCTCAATGTCGACTGTGACTGCGAGTCCAGAACTCCGATTCCAATTTCATGAACAGCGAAGAAATTCCGGTTTAGTTGAAGAAATTTGGATGATTATTGAAGGTTGGAGGAAAAATTTTGATGATGAACGAACAATTATCAAATTCTCTATAGTTACGTATTTGAGATTGAAGGTTATTACGATATTTACAAGTTTGCCACCGTGTCTTTTATGTTTAGATTAAATGAGTGGCTGAGAATGATTCCCCCATTCTCAACCTTTTTTATTTTCTCAATTAAACCCACCTATATATATATATATATATATATATATATATATATATATATATATATATATATATATATATATATTTCGGAGATCATTGGGTATTCTAATTTTAATTTTATAAATAAGTAACAAATTAAATATTGATAAATCTTTTAAAGCAAAGAATAAACCCTTAAATTATTTTATATTTCATAGAATTTAAAAGATACAATACATCTTCCATCTTGGAGTTATTACCAACAATAGATGGTATCTTTATATTATTAAACTAGCTATTTTCTTTCCTTTTACACATAATAAATCCACTAACAAATGTTTTTTTTTTTAACAAACTTAAACTGAGAGCATAAAGTCATAAAGTTCGTTTAGTTTGTATAACATTGGAACATAGGCCTCCATCGATTATTATTCTATCTTCTACATATACACACTGAAACAATAATTGAAGTCAACATGCAAATGTATAACTAAAATGAAAAGGAGAAAAAGAAAATTATTCATATAATATATATGATGTTTTAAGTGCAGGATGGCCTATTTAGAGGCGGTGGCAACATCGATTCCCCTAACCTGCTACCATTCTCTGTAATGAACACCGCCTCCATTCCCCAACTTATATGACACTCGAGATGACAATGCATTAACCATACTCCTCTAAGAAAAAATGATTAATTAGCCTAAGGGCTATGGTAACTCTTTGAACTCTATAAAGTTTAATGAATTGTCACATTATATAACTTTGTACAAGTTCAATATAATATTTATTTAATACTTAAAGAAGTTGGTTGAGTTTAGTCTATTAAATTAAATGAAAACCAAACATTTTGTTATTTCACCTGATTTAACTATTTTATTAATTCTATCTTTTTAAACATGTAAAGTTGAATTGAAACGAAGATTTTCAACATCTATATATCCAAAATATCTTTTTTTTTTATCATTTAATTTTAAAATATATATATATATATATATATATATATATATATATATATATATTTGTGAAGAATGATGCATGTATGGTTAAATTTATAACTAATGATCAAAATGATATGTTATCTCCTTACCTTTATAAATAATATATATAAACATAAATAATGTATCCAAAATAAGCTAATGTGGACTTGATGAGTAATTTAATACTATGATATTTAGATGAAATGTAGTTATTATTATATGATCAATGTTCATGCTTCATATATAGTATTTAAGGAATTAATCTCACCAGGGTTATCAGCCTTGAATCTAATGGCAGTCCAACCATTTTTAGGAACTGCAATGGTCTGTTGAAGAGGAGGATCAACAAGATTATAATTCAAAGTATCCTTACTCCTATTAAAGTTGCCAAATCCCCATCCAACAACATAAAAACTATGTCCATGCAAATGCATTGGATGACCAATTCCTCCAACCAAGTTTGTTCCTTGAAACACTAATTCTACCGTATCGTTGTACTCAAGTACTTTCACCTCTGTAGCATTCAATGGAGTCTCCAACAAATTATTTAAATTATTCGCGGTGAAGTTAAAACGTCCATAGTAAGCATCAAGTATAGAAATATTTGGTGAATGAAACGTTATGTTGTTTACACTTGCTGCAAACCTCAAGCCCCTTGGTCCTAAACATGTGTTATCAGCACATGACACTGTGTTCAACGAGATGGTGAACAAGAAGTTATGTGTGATCTTCAATGGAACATCAATAGGATGAGCATGACTAGCTAAACTCCTAAGGCTACCAGTGAAGTTAACAGATGCACTGGTACTATTAACCTTAGGAAGATGGGGGAAATTGGTTTCCTTGAAGATTTTTTGTAGCCTTTGTACTCGATAATGGCTGTGGTGGTGGTGTTATCGAAACTAATCGCTGGTTGGCTATTATAGGGTTTAGCCGCAATGTAATATTGACCTATTGGTTGGTTAGCTGTGAATAAGAGATCAATGGTTTGGCCAGGAGAGATGGTCACGTAGTCGCTTTTTAGTGGTTGGGTGTATGCACCATCGGTTCCTACAATAGTAACTTCATGGTCTCCAATCGCCCAAAACATAAAGAGATTCATAGCGGCATTGAACATTCGGAGCATATATGTCTTTCCTTGTTCAACAATGAACTTTGTTGTTTCTGAAAACATAGATAATAAAAAGAAATTTGTTTATATATATATATATATATATATATATATATATATATATATATATATATATATATATTTAAACACAAAATGTGATCAGCTTGATTAAAACATTAATGATAACACGAAAGAAATGGAAACCAACCTGCACTAGAGCAAGGGTAAAGATCACCGGGTTGTCCGTTGATAGTTAAAACATCAGATGAGTTAGGGTCCCCTCCAGTTCTCATGAAGTCTAGTAACAAAGCTTCAACATCTAACCGAAACCATTCACCTATATATATTTCAATATATTACAGTTAGCCTTACAATCGTTTTTCTATCATTTTTTAGTTTATAATTAAACAAGATTCACACATTTAAAAATAAGCTAAAAGATTAATATTAAAATGAGAGAAAAATCTAGGATGATGGGAAACTCGACATAGGGTTTATTATATATAAAAGTTTGGAGGTGTCTAAGAAATTTACCCAATCTCTTTTGATCGATAAAAACCTAAAAATTCCTTCGCCCCTCTTTTACTTTCTTCGTTCTTCGCCATCTTCAGCGCTTCAAATTGATCTTTTCTTCCAAGGCAGGTGCGGTTTTTCTTATTTATTTATTTATTTATTTATTTATTTATTTTTGGTTTCTTTCCAGATTTCGATCCCTAGTACCTATCACCATTTGAAATCTCAGTAGATCTTTATAATATACTTCTGATTTTCAGGCTCTTTAATCTTGTAAACCCTAGATGGATTGGAATCCACAAACACCACAGTTTATGTCGCAATCTTTCCTCGATACACTCTTCCCTCAACCCGAACTCCGCCGCCATGCTGATGAAAAGTTATCCTACTCCGCCGATACCCCTAACTACAGCCTTGCCGTTCTTCGCCTGGTTGCTGAACCTTCCATTGACGAGCAGACCCGCCAATTGGCTGCTGTTAACTTTAAGAACCATCTTAAAACCCGGTGGGTGTCCTCATCTGACATCCATATTCCCGATGGTGAAAAAGAGAAAATTAGGACTCTAATAGTGCCTGTTATGCTCTCCGCCACCCGGAAAATCCAGGACGAGCTTAGCGAAGCCATAGCTGTGATTGGAGACCATGATTTTCCTGAGTTTTGGCAGGCTTTGCTTCCTGAATTAGAGTCCAGTCTTGAAATGGCTATCAATTCAAATGATTTTACTTCTGTCAACAGTATCCTTGCTATTGTTTGTTCTCTGTTTAAGAGATTCTGTTGTGGGTTTAATTCTTTGTTCAAGAAATTTCGGTATCAGCCTAAGAGGAATAACATAATGCTTGATTTGATATACTGCTCGGATAACTTTGCCACACCGTTGCTGAGTACTGTTGAGAGTATTTCAAGGAAGATAAATGCTGCTGCTGCTGTTGGGTCTGTTGCAACCCTCCGGCAGTTACTTGAAGCACGAAGGCTCTGTTGTAGAATATTCTATTCGCTCAATGTTTTGGATGTGCCTGAAAAATTCGAGGATAAGGCAGATGAATGGATGAATGAGTTTAAGAATTATCTCAGAGAGAGGTACCCAGGTATAGAGGATGGTGGCGATGCAGACTGTGTTTCACTTGTTGATGAGTTACGAGCAGCTGTATGTGAAAACATAAGCCTCTACATGGATAAAAAGGAGGAACTTTTGCAAAAACACGTGAGTGACTTTGTAGAAGCTGTTTGTAGTCTCCTTGTTGCTGCATCAGCATCTGATCGGTTTACCGTGACTGGCGTCAAATTGTTGAGCACTGTCAGCAAGAGTGTTCACCATGAATTGTTTGCTGGCAATGATATATTGCAGCAGATTATTCAGAATATTGTTATTCCAAATGTGATGTTAAGGGATGAAGATGAAGAACTCTTTGAGAAGAATTATGTGCAGTTTATAAAGAGAGACATGGAAGGGAATGACCTTGATACAAGAAGGCGAATTGTGTGTGAGCTTCTCAAGGGTATTGCCGGAAATTACAAAGAGAAAATCACCGAGTGTGTCTCAACACAGATACACAATTGCTTGGCACTGTTTACTGAAAACCCAACTGCTAATTGGAAGTATAAGGAGTGTGCCATCTACTTGGTTGTCTCTCTTGGTTCAGTCTCAAGCAATGATGTTGTTGATGTTGAAAGTTTCTTCAGATCAGTTATTGTCCCAGAATTACAGAGTAAAGACGTGAATGGTTTCCCAATGTTGAAGGCAGCTGCATTGAGGTTTTTCACAGTGTTCCGTGTCTTGATTCCTAAACATGTAGCATTGCCTCTTCTTGGTGAGGTGGTCCGATATGTTGGTTCAGATATGAACGTGGTTCATTCGTATGCTGCCATCTCTATCGAGAAGCTTTTAATTGTGAAAGACGAAGATGACAATGGACTACAAGAAGGAAGATACACATCAATGGACATCCATCCCATTCATGAAGACTTGCTTTATAATCTTTTTGATGCATTAGAGAAGGCCTCTTTCTTAGAGGAGAATGAGTATATAGTGAGGTGTATCAATCGTGTTCTTCAGATGGCTGTTCTATCTTATGGGATGGTCTCACACTGTATTATTTACCTGACCAAAGCTCTTACCCGGGTCTGTGGCCGTGGCCCTAAAACCCTGGTGTTTAATCATTTTCTATTTGAGGCAGTTGCTACTCTTGCAAAAAGAGCATGCCAAAAGAACCCTTCGCTTGTTACTGACTTCCGTGCCTTCATTTTACGCATCTTTCGGAGGATATTGGGTGGAAAAGTAAGAGAGTTGTATCCTTATGCTTTTCAGTTGTTGGCTCAACTTGTGGTTTTAAACAGACCTCCTCTACCCCCAGTCTACATGGAGATATTTGATGACATGTTATTAGGACCTGCTTTGTGGGAAGAGTCTGCAAATGTCCCGGCCCTTGTTTGTTTGCTTCAGTCGTTTATTCACCAAGCACCCGATGAGCTGCTTCTTAACGGGAAAAAGAGATTAGCATCTGTGGTTGGGAAAATCAACAAACTCGTGTCTTCACCCGACACAGAAGAAGAAGGATTTCATCTTCTCAACACAGTGATTGAGAGTTATGAGTATGGTGTTATAGCAGAATACATGAACCACATCTGGGCTCCAGTGCTCACTCGCCTTCAAAATAGCAAAACCCCAAGACTTGTTAGGTGTGTGATCGTATTTATGTCTCTGTTTTTGGTGAAGCATGGGGTACAAACTCTTGTGGACTCGATAAATTCTGTTAAGGCGGATTTATTCCATGTGATTTTGGGTGAGTTTTGGATACCCAATCTGAAGACCATAACCGGGTACATGGAGGCTAAGCTGAGTGCAGTTGCATCAACTAAACTGCTTTATGAATCAGCATCACTGTTGGATCCTGCAGCTGAGGAGCTTTGGGGGAAGTTGTTGGATGCCATTGTTACTCTTCTTCTCTCATTGCCACTGCCAAAGGAGGAAAGAGTTGAGGATGAGGATGAACCAGATTTAACTGGTTATCCAGGATCCAGATTTGTTCGTCTTCGAAATGCTGGTGATAAAAAAGAGGAGGATCCTTTGGAGGAAATCCAGGATCCGAAACAGTTTTTTGTAGCTTTTCCTGCAAATCTCTCTTCTGATTTCAGTGGGAAATTCCCCGTGGTTATTACCAAACATCTTTCTCCACCTAATCAAGCTGCACTTGTCAAGCTATGCAATTCCTACAATATTGCCCTAGCATGAACTGAAGTATCAATCAGACTCATGATTTGTTTGCTATTATAAGCTCAACTACTATCACTAAGTGTATATATATATTGAAATCGTATCTTATTATTCTCGAGTCTGTTTGAACAAATATTAGCCTTTTAGTATGCCTTCTCTTAACATTTTAATATTACGGATATTAATGTAAAATTCAACGCTGGCCGTGCATGTTGCCTTCTTTTTTCTGCCATTGCTTTTGTTAATATATGCAGAGAACGATAAAAAGTGGTTAAGTCTCTAAAAATCCATAATGACATATCGTTTAATGATTTTTGAGTAAATTGTACAAATGATGGTTTGGGATAATCTGTTTGTTTGGTTTGGGATAATCTGTTTGTTTGGTTTTTAGTTAATTTTTTTAACTCGGATGATTCATTAAACTTTATTTTATTCTGCATTTAGGCTTTAATAAACATAAAAAGATATTTTTACCCTTATAATTTTATATTTAGAATTTTTATTATTTATTTGTTAATTAGAAAATATATTTATTAAAACAATCATATCGTTCACCACCCAAAACTCATTCCCCTCGCTTCCCTCTCTCTTGCCCCTTCTAATATGCACCTTTTAATCTTCATCTCCTCACCTTAATCTCCTCCCTCCCCTATCTTCAAGCTGTATCTCTTTCCTCTCCCTCTCCACCTATCACTCCATCAATGATGGAACCCCAAAATTACCCCTTTTGACCTAAATGTCGCTGAAAGCCTGCGACTCACGACGACATTTGCATGCCTTGTTGTCAAGACGATCTTCGTCGCTTCTGACTCATGACTAAGGCTTGTCAACCCGACCATTGCATGCCCGATCGTGTCTACTTTCACTCTCCATCATCAAGTAAACAGTGTATCTGGTCTCTGTCATCAAGCAATCGCCAACAGCCTCCGTCACCAAATGACTGTGTGCCGATCATCATCGGCAATCTAATCTGACCACTAACCAATGCCGGTCTCAATTAAAATTATTTTAGTTTCTATTTTACTTTAGTACAAGGTACATATTTTGAATTTTCAAGTATTAGTTGTTGTATAAATTTCTATCTAATTTCACGTTTTGCTGCATAAATTCGTGATACTGAGTATTTGATTTCAATTTTGTGAGTCTACATAAATCTAATTTCAAGTCTTGCTCCATGTATAGTTTTTGTTTCAATTTGGATTTTAGAGTTTATAACTGATTTTTGTTTTAATGTTTGAGTTCGATATCTTATTTAAGTTATAATATAAATATGATATCTCATTTCAAGACTTAAATGATAAAATTGATTTTAGATTGGCTTTCAACTCCAGGTATGGGGTGGAAGGTGATGGTGCAAGAGACGGACTATGGTGTTCTAGGGAGAAAGGGGTGATATTTGTATTTTTATTTATTTCTTTTAATAGTTTATTTTAATATAGTTTATTTTATTTTTGGTTAATCATCATACATATTTTCTTTTTTCTTGTTTTTTATCTATATCAGAAACTTTCTAGTCTGTGTTTAGTTTTATATTTTTAGAAGACTAGCATGGAGCAAAGTTCAGATTTTTAGAAGACTAGCCTGTAGCGGGATTGCAAAAAAATTCGGACTTGAATTTGGTGCATTTGGACTTTGGCTAAAGAAGCTTGAAGATAAATGGGCTCGTGGTGATTGGAGTTTAGAAGCAAATGTGAAAAAAATCAGCTAGTTGATCTATATAGATATGAAGATTTTGGGCTTTGCGCTGAGGAATAATTAAAATGCAAGTTGCGCTTGTCTTTGAGCATCTTAGAAGCATTTGGGTCCTCTATAGCCGGTAGAGAAGAGCCGTATAAAAATGACAAGGAAACATGCAGAGTAAAGAAGGCTTGAAGACGCAATTCACCAACAAAACTGAGTGACTCACGTGGTCCGCGTGAGTCCCCTTCCCAGTCCGCGTGAACTCGCACGGGGTATTTTCTTATTTCCCTTGTGACTGTTATTTACGCGAAGGTTGGTGACTTTTTTTTAGAGAACTTTTGATCAGATTTTGAAGACCAATTCCCTAGAGTTTTGGGAGTATCCTTGGAGCTTGAAGAACACGTAGAAGAACATCATTCTTCATATCTTTTCATTTTGAACTAATGTTGGGTATTTCTAAACTCTTTTTCTTTTGCTTAAACTTAGCCATGTTAGGTAAGTTAATATTTGGTTGATGTTGGTTTAACCCATGGATATTGTCTATGAACTTGTAGTTGAAGTTAATGCAAGTATAAACATCTTTTTATGTTTATTTTTCTTTAATCATGAGTTTAGATATAAGAATGTTTAATTAATTGACTAATTTCTTGTTTAAGTAATAGATCTTCAAATTAGCTAGCAACAAATAGTTTATATTTGTTTTCATTTCACTTAAATCATGAAAGTATTTCATCCATAATGGTAATGAAAGCATATTGATATCATTTTGAGTTTTGGTGGTTCTTAAATCTTAATTCTAGTTGATTTTCATAAATTATATGCTTCATTGATTTGTGACTTTAACTAAGAAAATATGTTATAAGCTTCTCTAGCCATTTTAACAACAAAGAAGAGTCAAGGTATTTTATGCTTATAAATCATTATAGCCAAGTTATATTAAATCACAAGTATTGCACCATAACATCTAATGATAAATTAACTAGTTATCCATGTGGTGAAGGCCAATGTCAACCAACTTTTTCTCCATAACGTCCCAAATTTCAAACCAAAATTTTAATTTTAAAATCAAAGTAAACCATGCCATTCATTCATAAAATCAATACTCAATTATTTCGAAAACATAAATTAGAGTATTAATATTATAATGTGGAACATCTTGAAAACATAACAGCAAATGCGATGCAATCACACATTGCTCTTCCCGTACTGCCAAAAAGACAAGCAACATTTAAACTTACAACCGTAAGCACAAATCTTAGTGAGTGCCCCAAGATACCAAATATATAACATTACAACCTATTTCAGCCAACGAGTTTGTTTCAACCTATGTGAATGTTATGGTCCTCCCACAGTCTTACAATCACTTTCGTTGCTGCACTCCTCCTATAGTCTTTCCTGCTATGGTCCTCTCACTATGGTCCTCCCATAGTCTTTCATACAACTACTACGGTCTTCCCATAGTCTTTCATAGAATTGATATGGTCCTCCCAAAGTATTTCATACAATTGTTGTGGTCCTCCTATAGTCTTTCATACAATTGCTATGGTCCTCCCATAGTTTCTCATGCAAAAGTCACAAAGACAATCTAGCATACTACATAGTATAGTGAAAAGACTCATTCGAATCAATAAATGAGTCCGACTACTTGAAATCCTAAAGAATCAACTACATGAACCACCTAAATAATTCACAACCTAAACTATGGCAAACCCCATGACCGTACCGTGGCAACAAAGTGAAAAAATAGACATGACTGAAACCTGCCCACGCGTCGTGACACTACTCACCGCACTGTGGTGAGCTTCCAAAACAACTTAATGGATTAAGCACCTAATCCTTAACCTTCAGAGATCAAAGGCTCATATCTGATTCTTCTAAGGGTCTTAATGGATAAAGTTTTCAACTTTATACAATAGGACATCACAATAAGCTAAGATCTAAAACCCTAAGTCCAAAACCTCACAAAAAGGCCATAGCTTGTGCATGGACACAAAACAACCCCATATCTTCATTGACAAAGGTCAAGAATCTAAATGTATTAATTAGAAGTTCTAGCGTTCATCAAACTCCAAGGGGAAAAAGATCTTGAGACCAAAACATCATAATTGAACCCAAAACACAAGATAATCATAGATCCAAAGGTAAAACTCAATAAAGCATGGAACTTTGTGACTTACAAAGGTCCAGAATGTGAATGAAGATCTTCTGATGCAAAGCTCCAATACTCAATCTTGCAAGAAACTTCATTCCCGAAATCACCAAAATCACATAAATATGATGGATAAGAGGAGAGATAAGAGGCTCAAAGTTGTGAAAAGGGAGGCTAGGGTTGGCTCATAAGGAGCTCTTGATGTGATGGAGGATGAAAATGACCTAAAACACGGAACAATGTCTTTAAATATAATGAAAACCATAATTTTATGGGCTTGGGTTGCACAACCACCGCGCCATGGTGACTTTCTCACCATGACGTGGTGACGGGTTTTCACATATTTCATTCCAACTTCAAACAATCATAATGTTTTCATTTTAAACACGTTTTCAAAGATCTTTATATGCACACGAAGGTATTAACAATCCCCACAATTCTATTCAATTAATTTTGACTTAATGCATACCAAACTTAATTCATTAATACATACAAAGATTCAACAATATCACTTTTTCTCATTTTACCCCTTTTGGCTCTAAAATACAATTCAGGAGCTTATATCACTTAGATAACATTATTTGAAACATCCCAAAAACACAGTCTGAAAATTTCGTTTGATTTAATAATAAAAACCATAGTCGATAAAACTCATATGAAAATCATAAGCAATGTATCTCAAAATATTATAACAACTGTCAAGTATATCAGAGTATAAACATCCCAGGCTGAACAAATGGTGTGTGCACTGCAATCTTCCCGAGCTCCTCTTTTGAAAACTGAGTACCTGAACACTGTAAACACAAAGTTAGTGAGCTCCCCCAAACTAGCACATACCATACAATAACATATAAAACACATACTGGGCCTTGCCCACTACATCGGACCGAAATCCGGAAACTGCATCGGACCAAAGTCCGGAAACTAACCAGGGCCTTGCCCTCTGCATCGGACCGAAGTCCGGAAACTGCATCAGACCGAAGTTCGGAACTAACTGAACATAACATAGCATAAACATATCAACTAGCATGAACACATATACTGCATACTGTATCGGACGAGGGTCCGAAACACATAACACAAAACACGCTTGAATCACAAAGACATCAAGCAATCTAACTACTGCATCAGACCGTGGTCTGGAACTACCGCTAACTAAACGGGTCGGCATTGTGGCCGTAGACCCGTT